CTTTTTTGGAAACCCGGGCGGTTCGGGAGTGAAAAAGAAGGGATTTGGAGGCCGCAATGAACCATGTAGTGTGGACCCGGTGACCGGGCGGGCGAGTTTAAGGTACACTAGGCATAGAGGCATGGCCATGCGCAACGTCCTGTCCAACGACGACGTGCGAGCGCTCTCTCACAGTCACACAAGTGACAAGAGAGAAGTCGCGCTCTCTCAGTCTCACTCTCGCCAACAGGAATGCAGCGCGGGTGGAGAGAGGTAGACGAGATGCGAAGGGCGAGTGGACACCGGAGTCGCCGGTGGACGGCGGGAAGCGGAGGGCTCAAGAGGGACAGCAAGCCAAGAGAGCAAGAGGAGGACAGGAATGTGGCTCCCTCTTTGGGCGCGTGTCCTGTTTCGTGTGCGTGCGTGTGCGCGTAGACCCCGGGCGACTCGCCATCCTCCCCGCGAGCGACCCTCCCCCTCGGCGCCAGGCCCTCTGTACGCAGCTCGTAGCTCGATCCCCGGTATCATCGCCCGCCCTTGTCCGACTTTGCCTGGCGGAGCGCTCGCTCGCGCTTCTCGTACTGCCGCCGCAGCTTAGCCATGTCGCGCTCTAGGTTCGCGCCCAGCGCGCTCAGCTCCTCGTCGATGCCCGCGAGACTCAGGTGCGAAAAGTCGTACTTCTTGCTCGCAGCCTCCTTCGCGGCCCGCCCGTTTGCGCCGCCGCCGAGGTCCCCCGCCCCGTCGCCCGACGGCGACGCCGGCACGCTCCCCGCCGCGCCACCTCTGCCCGCGCCGCCGCCGCCGCCGCCCGCCGCCGAGCCCGCCGCCGCGCCGCCGCCCATGCCGATGGCTGACTGGAACTGGCGCATGAAGCCTGGCACCGAAGCGGGCGCGGGCGCGGCGGAGTTGAGGACGACGGTGCCGCTGCTGCTGCTGGAGGGGGAGGGGTGGCGGAAGATCATCGTGCCCGCGTCGCCGCCCCCCCCCGCCGCCTCCGCCGACTCCTTGACCACCATCGTGCCGTACGCGGCGCTCGCGTCGACCGTGCCAGAGCCGCCGAGCCGGCCGGCGACCTTGCGGAGGGCGTCACACGTGTGACATGCAATCATTCACAAGAGGCGGCTTCTGTCTCATAATCATCACCTTGCGGATGGCGTCCATGTCGAACTCCTGCGTGTCGCCCCGCTTGAGCGTGCCCGGCTCGTCCTCCTCCAGCGAGCCCGACGCCTCGAGCGCCTGCTTGCGCCACGCCGCCAGCGCCTCGCTCGCGCTCTCCATCAGCTGCTTGAGGACGGCGCCGCTGACCGCCTTGCGCCCCTCCCGGATGAAGGCGTGCTGTAGCAGCTCGGTGGCGGTGGGCCGCTTCTCGACCTCCTTGGTGAGGCAGCGGCCCACAAAGTCGCGGAACGCCGCCGACCACTTCTCTGGCTCGGCGAGCTGCGGCGGCGGCTGCGTCGGGATAAGGAAGATGGCGCGCATCGGGTGCAGGTTCGAATTTGGCGGCGAGCCCTCGGCGAGCTCGATGGCGGTGATGCCGAGCGACCAGACGTCCGCCTTGGAGTTGTAGCCCGCCTCCGGCCCCGGCGAGGAGATCACCTCGGGCGCCATCCAGAAGGGCGTGCCGATCACCGTCCCGCGCCGCGAGATGGACGTGTTGAGCTGCGCCGAGACGCCGAAGTCGGCGAGCTTGACCGTGCCATCCTCGGTGAGGAGCAGGTTGCCCGCCTTGATGTCGCGGTGGATCTTGTTCAGGCTGTGCAGGTACGACAGCCCCGCCAGCGTCTCGGCCAGCACGGCGCCAATCTGCCTCTCCGTCAGGCAGCGCGAGCGCGCCTCCATCACGTCGCACAGCGACGATCCCGCACAAAACTCCATGACGATCCAGAGCTCGGAGCCACGCGTGAAGGAGGAGTAGTAGCGCACAATGTTGTCGGACGCGCATGCCTTGAGCATCTCGATCTCGCGCGCCACTTCGCCCGTGTCCTGCTCCACCGGGACGACCTTGACGGCCACGGCGCGGCCCGTCTTGATCTCGAGTGCCTTGTACACCTTGCCAAACGAACCCTCACCAAGCTTCTCCTGCAACTGGTAGCCCTCAATCCCGCCCTCCGCCATCGAACCACTCGCGGCGCGCAATAAGAGCGCCTTGACCGAAAAAGAATTTTCCCCGCGAGAAACACAACACACTCCCTCCGCAGGCGTCAGCCGGGCGGCGTCATGTCCTCCTCTCAGGCCCCCTCTAGAATACGCCTGTGGTGTGCACCGTGTGGCACCCCTACCTGTTGTCTCACCCTGGCGCGCAATAAGAGCGCCTTGACCGAAAAAACTCTGTCGCATGCGGCGTCGTGAAAGATATTCTGTTTTTGAGAGCGGCTTCGTTGTTAATACAAGCGGATGGTCCCTTGTCGCAGTCACATACACAGAACACACACCACACCGCACGGCACCGCGTGCACACGCTTCAGGCAACCCAAAGGAGGGATGGGAGGACGGCACGCCGCCACCGCACACACGTTGTCTTGCGCTGTGCACTTTCGCGGCCCGCGTCCTTTGTAGAACTGAAGTCCGTCCGCTGCCGCGCCGATTCATCGCGGTTTTTTTGGGTTTTGGCAGGCACACAGGGATTTCACGGGCGAAGGAAGGTGTGTTGCTAGCCATCGCCCACCCTTGGGCGTCTCGTGCCTCTTCCTATCTCTCTTAAGCGGCAAACGGCCTCTTGTCCTCGGCCCCAGTGGGGGGTGCCCGCGCCGCCTAGCTCTGCGGACGGGCCCCTCCACCCTCACGTACGGATCATGTAGTCCCCACACTCGCTGTCGTGGGATCGCTTGTCATGTGAACTCAGTGGACGGACGGAAAAACACCCCCCTTTTATGCCTGACCCTGGCCATGGCCTCTCTGGGGGTGAGCTGGGCCGGCCGCCTCCGGGTCCGCCACTCGCACGGAGGGCTCGCGTCCGGGAAAGCATCCGAGACCCGTGGTTGTCCGCTCGCTGGGCGCGACCTACATGGAAATCCACTGCACACAGATCTGTGCTTTTGGCGCCTATTGCTCGCTCTCTGTGCAATCGCAACGCCAGAGGCCGTGCTTGGAGAGTGTGTCGCAGTGCTGCTACGTCAGTGGATTGAGCCGCGACGCAGGCTCCATCGGTGAGCTGCGGCGGCGCACCGGCCGCTCCATGCATGCTCTCCGGCGAGCCGTCGCAAACGCGTCTTCCGTCCGCCCGTTTCATCGAGTTTGCCCGAGTGGTAAAATGCAATCGAATCTGCCCGAGTGGTCAAGTAAAACTTTGCCTTTCGAAAAGTTGCCCGAGTGGTCGAGTGGTCAAGTAAAACTTTGCCTTTCGTAAAAGTTGCCCGAGTGGTCTGTGGGGAAAAAACGAAAATCGAGACGGACTTCTTGAACGGCCGGGCAACATGTCTTCCTTACTATTATTAATTGATGCTTTTTGCACGGCTGAGCCCCCCCCCCCCCCCTCCCCCGCGCCCACTCCCTGCCCTCTCCCGCCACGCACTCCGTCAGAGCCCCCTCCCCTCCTGCACAACAGGAATTTTGACAATTAACAGGATGGATTCAAAGAATGGACAACTAATCAGATGGAAGCAGGAAGCTTCCATCCCGGCGGTGGTTCGAATCCACGCGAGCCGAGGGGTGATGGGTCCGAGACTGCTGGGGTTCTGAGGCTCACCCATTGAGGAAGTGAGGTACTGCTCCGCCCACCCGGATCCTGCTGACCAAGCTCCTCTTGTAGCTCGATCGGTCACACCGCCATCGCCGTCGGGGAGAGGGGGGACGACACTGCTTCGGCAGCGTGCACCTCGATCCTGTACCGTGTTTGTTATGACCCCCCCCAATGAACACACCAGTGAGGGAGGGCGAGACGATCGAGGGGTCCCGTACCATGCGGAATCGACCCTATCCAGTGCTCAAGTGCTCATGTGAGAGAGTGCGTTGTGTTCTTGTCTTCTATCCGCTTTCTCTCACGTTCGCCGCGCTGCGGATGTAGAGGGCGCGCAAGTCGATGTCGTGGGTGTCCAGGACGTACCACAGCTCCCGCAGCTCGTGCATCAGCTGCGGCGACCGCGAGACCATCGACGTCAAGATCCAGACCACCGCCATGTTGTCCTCGCGCAGAAGCACACGGCGCCCGGCCAGCTGCGGGAGGAAGAACTCGACCCCCTTCCGCACCGCAACGAGCTCGTTCCACGTGATGTGGAAGGGGAGCTCGTCCGGCGACCGGAAGCCGTGGGCCGGCGCGTGGCGCTGCGCGAGGTCGACGGCCGCCCCCCAGCCGAGGTCGGAGGCGTCGGTGTGGAGCAGCCGAGTCTCCGCCGGCCGCCAGATGGCTCGGCCGACGTGCTTCGAGCCGCGCAGCTCCGCCCACCAGCCTAGATCGGCCAGAGACTGCCGACCCAATCGCACGCCGTCCCGCGAGCGCCAGCCTCGGCGCGTCGCCAGGTCGTCGTGCAGCGCCCGGAGCATGAAGCGGCCGAGCGGGACCGCCAAGTAGCTCGACTGCGCCGAGCCCGCGAAGGCGGCCAGCCGCCGCGGTGGCACGAGCCGTCGCTCCCTGGTGGCGAGGCAGATCAGCGAGCGTGCCTCCGCCGCCAGCTGCGTCTCGCGCCTCGGCGTGAGGAGGAAGAGGCCGCGCGTCGAGTCGACGGCATGCCCAAGGTGGTCGTCCAGCCGCTGCGACGGCTCGTGCTGCCCCTTGGTCGGGGAGACGGCCAAGCTAGCCGGCCAAAGAGGGCTCGCACACGCATGCTCTCGGCGCGAGCCGCCTCCAGCATCGCGCCGTACTCCGGGTGGTCCGCCCGCACGCCCCGTACGAAGAAAGCGAAGTCGTCGAGCCACGGGAGCGTCCGCACGCCGCGGTGCACGCCCGAGTGGCGCCGCCGCTGCCCGTAGCGCGGCCTGGCCGCCGCATCCGGGTTGCGCAGATAGCGCACCACGTCGCGCATCACCTGGGTGAAGACCCACGGAGAGAGAGCCCAGCCGAAGTGAGCGCGGGGGTGGAGAAGTACTCCACGCCGGCCTCCGTCTCGACCGCGAAGGTGAAGTAGTCGACGTCCGACTCGTGCACGCCGATGTGGTGGTAGGCGTCGGTCAGGTCGAGTGAGAACATGAAGTCATGCCGCCTCGCGAGCCGCCGTAGCGTCGCCAGCGACTCGAACTTGCAGCTGCGCTTCTCCACGTGCTCGTTCACCCACCGCAGGTCGATCACGAGGCGCGGCTTGCCCTTGTGCCACACCACGAAGGCTCGAGAGACGTAGTCGCAACGAGTCGCCCGACGCCACGCGCCTGTGCCGAGGCAGCGGTCGCGTTCCTGCGTCAGCCACGCTCGCTCGTTCGGCGAGAAGCTGCCCACGCCGTGGTGGAACGGGAGAGGTGGTCCCCTCTCGTTCCACGGCACGCGTACGCCCTCGCCGAGCCAGCGCAGCGTCTGCCGGCTCGCGCCGATGTCTCGCCAGGCGGAGAGCCTCGAGCGGACCCGATCGCGGTGTGTCTTGAGACCTGGTGGAACCCCCGAGCCGGTCAGCTCTCGGGGGCCTGGCGAAGAGGAGGTCGCGTCCACGCCCTGGCTGCCAGCCAGAGGCGCCGCGGGCCTCCTAGCCGCGCTCGCCGCCGCGAGCGCTGCCACCTCCGCCGCGGCCGCCGCCCCGGCCGCCGCCGCCGCGTCCGGATACCCCGCCATCGCGCTGGCCACGGGCGTCGCCATCGCGCTGGCCACCGCCGCGCTGGCCGCTCCCGCCCCGCAGCGACGTCGCCGCTGCGGCGGTCGCCGCCGCCGCCGTTGCCGCCGCCGCCGCCGCTGCCGCCGCTGTCGCCGCCACCCCGCCGGCTGCTGCCGCTACTGTCGCGCCCACCTCCGCCACCGTCACCGCCGCCGCCGCCGCCCAGGCGGCCGAGCCGCTTGGACGCGCCGGGGGGCTTGGGCTTGAGCCGGGCAATGTCGGCGGAGGCGACCGCAGAGGCGGGTGTGGCGGCGGGACACGCGGGACTCGTGGAGCCGCTGTCCGAGCAGGGAGCGGGCGCCGCTCTGCGACCGCTCATTGCCGTAGAGTGGGTCGAACTCGGCCGCCTCGAGGGCGCCCTTCCCGACGGACTCGAGCTCGTCGAGGCGCTCCTGGCCGAAGGCGAGTATGGACCCGCGGCTTGCAGGCGCGCCGCTCGCACCTGCTCGTGCACGAGCCGTAGCGCCCTGCGGGCATCTCCGGGATCATCTCGCTCATCGCCAATCGCGACCTCGAGCCGCTCGAGGTGCGTGTGCAGGTCGTACATGTACGAGAGGGAGGGAAGGAGGGTGCACACCTCCCGTTGGTTCGCGGCCCCGAGCTTTTGCGGTGCAGCTCTGCGTGCACGGTGTCGCCCGCCGCCGCTGGTGCGTAGTGCGAGGTCCGCAGCTGCAGTCCGCGCTTCCGCTCGAAGGGGTTGTCGCTGTCGTAGTCGCAGGCACCGCCGAACAGCTCGCCGACAGCATCGTCGCGACCGACGCCGCCGCCGAGGCGGGGGGGGCTGCGGTGACCGCCGCCGCCCACGTCGTCCTCCGACGAGTCGGCGTCGGAGTCTGGGGGGGTGGGAGGGTCAGGGCGCATCCGCTCGCGGTCCTTGGCCGCCTTGCCGCCCGCTCCGCCGCCGTCGCCGCCGCCACCGCCGCCACCGGTGGGGGGTCTTCCCCGTCGGGCTGGGCGGCTTGAGCCTCGAGCCGCTCGAGCCGCTTGCGAAGCACTCGTAGCTCCTCGGCCGAGTCCACAGGAGCGGGAGGCGCGGCTGGGGCCCCGTCGGTGCCCCCACCAGCCCCCGAGGGGGGGGGGCTCCGGCCCAGAGCCATCTTTTGCCTCTGCGGGCCGTACGTCTTGGTCAGCGTCGGAAGCGCGCTTTGGCGCGGATTTGCCCATATCGTTGGGCGCACGGAGGGAAGGAGAGGTGGGCTCCTGCCCGAGAAGGTCGCGGGACCTGCGCAGGGCTCGCTCTGCGTGATGCCGCTCGAGCTTGGGCGTGCACGCAAGGGGTCGCACGCGCAAGCAAGAGGAAACAACTGGGGGAAGTTCACAGCTGAGCTTACCCAGAGAACGTTCTCACCCATACTGTCCACTATGAAAGTGTGGACCCGCGTGAACAGCAGCTCCTGACCACGGCGCCGCAGGCGCCTGTTGATAGGTCCAGGTGATAGCCCTGGATGAGCAATGCATACGCCTAGTTGGGCCTCGAATCGCCCGACCGCGTCCCGGTGCTCTGTGGTCGGATTTGTGACGCCGCCGCACCGCGCCGCGGCCGGGGGCCCTCCGGAGGCCGAGGATGGCCGTGACGGACCGGGACGAGCTCTGGGAGGTTCAGTGTCAGTGTATGTATTGTAGAGACTACCCATGTGCACAATATCTCTCAGTCTAGCTAAGCCAGGGGAGGCGATGCCGGGGCCGTCAGCAGCTTGATGATGTTTCGCCGGCGTGCGTCCCGGAGCGGTCCCGGACGGGCGGTCCGTGGAGGAAAACGAGGGACAGCGCCGACGGCGCTCTGATTCGACTTTTCACTTCAAACAAAGGTCAAAGCCTACCGCACGCCGCGTGGCGGCGCGTGCGGTAGGCACTCGAGATTTTGTCAGATCGGCGTGTTCACGCCGGGATCGTGTCCCTCACAACCTGCACAGACTTTGGGAGAAAGAGAGATCACTGTGTGTCACACATTTCTTGTTGGCTTCTAAAAATTCTCTCTCTCTCTCTCAGACTTTAGGCTTGGACAGTAACCAAAAAGCACGATTCTGAAGTTGGGCCCTCAGTCCCTCGCCGAATCTCGCAGCAACCTCATGGTCATGCCACCTCCTCGCGGTCGTCCCACTCTCGTCGTTCTCTCTCCTGCCCCGTCGCCCTCTTCCTCGTCGCTCTCCTGTGTGTGAGTGTGTACACACACACACACAACACACGTCGCTCTCCTCTAAGGCGTGGTGAATTCTTTTTCGGAAATGTTCCATCACGTGCCGGCGCGCCGGTCGGCGCTGCTTGTCGTACTGTCTGTTTCTCCCGTGGTCGGCGCTTTATTTACGGCCTCGTGCGCAAGGCCGGTGATCTCGGCCACTGCAGCCAACGCGCAGCGGCCGAAGCTTGGCGTCCTCGGCACGGTGAAGCGACACACCGGTGTGGTTGCGACGGCTGCGGAGCCACACAGCACACCGAGTTTGCTGGCAAAGCTCATAGCGTTGGCCAAGAACAACAAGTCGAATGCCACGACGGCGGCCGTCATAGCAGTACTCTTCCTACTCACTGGACTTGCCGAGATCGGAGGCGGCTGGCTCGTCTGGCAAGCTGTGCGCGAGGGAAAGCCCTGGTGGTGGGCGCTGCTGGGGTCACTGACGCTGGTCGTGTACGGTTTCATCCCAACGCTTCAGCCGCTCCCCGACTTTGGCCGGCTCTCTGCTGTGTACGGCGGGCTCTTCATCGCGATGAGCTACATCTGGGGCGTCCGCTTTGACGGACTCAAGACGGATCGAGGCGACGTTATTGGAAGCATTGTGGCTCTTGTGGGTGTGGGGATAGCGCTCCTCTGGCCAAGAGGCGGTCGGCCGGTGAAATGAGTCGGCGTTCGTCACTGCTCTGTGCGCATGTGCTAGAAAACAAGAGCTCTTGAGAGGCCGTCGTTTTTGCTTTTTCGCGGTACCGGATACCGCTTAGTTTTTTTTGTGTTCCGGCGCTTGTTGGGCTTCTCTCGCGACGCGACGATCCCGCGGCCGCCGCGCCGCCGCCGCGGGCCGCGCGCGCGCGCTCTCCGCCTCTCTCGCGTCGGTGTGTGCGGTCCTGACTCGTTCCTGTGTGTGACTCCGCAGTTGTTAGATGTCAGTGGCGCCGTGTAGGGGCAGTAGACACAGTAGACCGGACCGCACAGCGCGTGGTAGAGCGAGTGACGGAAAAAGTCTTGGAGTTGGCTATGATTTGCGAAAGATACACTCGGTGTATCTCCACAGTGTGTCTTCGGCGTGTATCTTCGGCGTGTATCTTCATTTTATACGGGGGTGTATCTTCGGTGTATCTTCGATTGTAGAGCTGTTTAACGTTGGGAGCTGAACAGTGTTGCTAGTGTTAACAGTAACAACAGAACAACAGTGGGGCTCCCCAACAACAGTAGCTAACGTTAGGCCGGCTGAACAACAATAAGGAAGGCCTGGCAGTGACCCACGACGATCTCCAGCGTCCAGTGCGGGTAATACCCGAAAATACCCGGAAAAACCCAGGTTTTTTCGGGTTTTACTCGGGTTATTTGGCATTTTCTGCTTGCTGACCGCTGAACAACAGTAACAACAGTAACAAACAGGAACAGCATGGGCTGGGGTGAACACTTGAACAACGTTAAGGATTTCAGCCAACACTAGCGCAACTGTTAGGCCCAAAGTTAATGTTAAACAGCTCTCTATTCGATTGTATCTTCGGTGTATCTTCGCCCGGACACGGCGTGACACGCCCCTCGCCGCCGGTTTCAATACAAAGAATAAAAAATAAGCGCCGGCGACGTTATCAGGCGTTAGGACCTGCGGCCTCCTATAGGAAGCCGCAGTCCCCAACCTCCGAGAGTGCCACGAGCGCTTATTTTTTATTCTTCGTGGCCACGGCACGATTACTCATCACTCGCTCGGACAGCGTGTGACCAAGCAAGGCGGCCTCGGTTGAAGCGGGGGTTGCCAAGGGCTCCGTGTGCTGTGTCGGCGTACCCCGCGTTCACTTAGTTAGAGAAAGTTTGCTCGGGACACTGTGCGAGCCCGCAGTGTGCCCCCAGCCCTTTCCACGGGTCCCTGTCGCGGTCTGTGATTATGCCTGGGTGTGCGGCAGCCCTGGCAAGCTCGACGAGCTGTTGCATCCACCCACTTTTGCATCGGCAGCACTCCTCGCCGATGACCCAGCCGAGTGAGCGTTGACGGCGGGTTGGAAGTTGGATGCTTGACACAGCAGGCCGCTGCGATGAATTATGAGTGTCGCCTATTGCCCTGGCAACGGTGGGTACAGGGATTATTAACGGCTCGCTCGACGGTGGCTGCCACACCGGCCACAGCTCCAGGCAGTGGCGTTGCGCAGCATTGTGCTTCTGGTTTGCGGCTGCTGAGCTGTGTCCTCGGCCTCCCTGGCGAATTGTGGTGCTACGTGGCTTACTCTCCCCGGCAAAACGAGAGCGGCTGCAGGCGCAACCTTCCCATCGTGTCCTCTTGCTCAGAATGGTGGGTCTCCGGCTTTGTGCTGGCTGCGCTGGCCGGCTGACGGACCTCGGCTCAACCCGTACCGCCATGGCGGCTGTGGCGCGCCTGGCGGCGGCCACGGCTGCGGTTGTGTGCTGAATCTGAGCCTTCCATTCTACACCCGCACTGCATATCGGCTGGCACCTGCCACTCGTGGTCTGCAACTGTGTGACGTGCGTCTGCTGGCTCATCCCGGCGGCGTTGCTGGGCAAGCTGAAGCGGCGCGCGAAGAACGACGGTGGCATTCTTCGCATGTCCCAGATCTTGCTAGGCGCGTCCCTCTGCGACTTGGGCGTCTGGCTAGCCAAGCAGGAGCTGGGCGATGCAGATGAGCGGGCTCGCTCGAACCTCGCGCCTCACTGGATGTCGCGCAAGCTGCAGCGGCGTGCTCGGCCTCTGCCTGGGCTGTTTCCTGTCTCCCACCACGATCAAGAACTTCAAGACGGAGTTGAACAAGCGTGAGCGGCTGCGGCTTTGCCTCCCTCCTGGTGGCAGGAGCAACTGCGCCGGCTGCATGCGGCAGTGTGAGGAGGTGCCCGGCTCTCTGAAGGAGATGCCAGGCGGACACGCACAACGGTGGCTGCCCGGCGGCGCGCGAGTCCCTCAGCCGGCCTTGGGCTGCGTCGCGTGCAAGGTCAATCTCTGTGTGAAGTGCAGGAAGCCTGTGGCAGAGGGAGGCTGGGACCATGTCGGCTATTGTGACAGCATGCTCCCTCCGGTCTCTGGATGATTGTGTGTCCGCGCAGCCCGAGAGAGCTGTCAGAGGGGCTGGCCCGGAGCCTTCTCGTGTCGGGCGGGTGGCTTCTTCTTGAGCCACCTTACCTCTGTGTGAACTCAACAGCATCAAATTACACAGACCAATGCTCCCCAGTAGCCCCAGATGCCTCGGGGTGCTCTGAAACACTTGCGGTGGAAGGGAGGGTGAGGCGTCGAGGCAAGCTCGTGGGGGCCTCCCCGTGGGTATTTAACCCTTGGTGACGGCGGCCTCCATGGGCCACCCTATCGCTCTGTGTTTGCACCAGCAGCCAGGCCAACACCCTCATACCCACTAGGGTGGTCCTGAACACTCTAGGGGAGCGCTAGAACACTTGGCGCCAGAGGGAGGGTGAGGGAGGGTTAAGTGAACGAGGGGTACGACGTGAGGTTATTCAAATTCATATTTTCTATGGTGCGCCCCGAGACGTTATACACATGTACGTGCCAGATAGATATCATAGAATTAGAAACCGAGAAAACTCGCACACCCCAAGGCAAGTGCCAAGACGCGCAAGAGCCCATTAGGATAATACTTTTACGCATAATAACTAAAATACTGTATAGGCAAATAGCTCAACATACACTATACGCACACCGGCAAACACATTTTCAAATATCACGTCGAGCGAGGGCCGCGCGCGGAACAGTATACAAAAAATGTAGCACCGACGTACGCCGAACTCACACGGTCCTCTCTACCCGTTCGCAGTCGCCCTCGCTGCTCGCCTCCGCGGCGGGCCTTGCCTCGCTGCTGTTCAGCCGCTGCCGGTCCTCGCCGCCCTTGAGTTTGTCGAGCTCCACGTCGCCGCTGATGCGCGCGCCCATCGCCGCCGCCGTGCTCTGCGGCGTGCCTCGGGGCACGAGCAGCGGCACAAGCAGGATGGGCGTCGCGCCTGCGCCGGAGCGGCGGCCAGGGGTGTGCGGCGGGGGGGCGGGCCAGCGGGCCAGCGGGCCAGTGGGGGCGGGCGGGCGAGGCGTGCACACCGATGAGGGTCCGGGTGAAGACGTATGCGCCGAGCCGCTCAAAGGCGGGCGCCTCGACGCCGCCGAAGAAGCGGAGCAGCGCCGAGCCGACGTACTGCCTGCAGGCGGGAGGGGGGGGGGGGGGGCGTCGAGGAGAGGAGGGGTCAGGCGGGAGCCGACCTCACGGCAGGAAGGGCTCGCCCTGCGGCGGATCCAAAGTTGGAGAGCCCCATAAAGAGGGCGAACATGGACGCCTCGACGGAGGGCGGGCAGAGCTTCGCCGCGTAGATGAGGAAGGGCATCGCCTGCAGCCGGGGAGGAGAGGAGGGGGAGGGGTGGGCTGCCACGCCTGCAGGCATAGGCTTGGAAGGCGGGCCTCACCTGCAGCCGGCTCAGGACGCCAACGAGCACCTCGCGTCCCCGGAGAGGAGCCAGAATTAGAATAAATTATTATTAGAATAATAATTAATTAGACGAGCACCTCGCGTCCCCGGAGAGGAGCCAGAATTAGAATAAATTATTATTAGAATAATAATTAATTAGACGAGCACCTCGCGTCCCCGGAGAGGAGCCAGAATTAAATTAATTAGCACCTCGTGTCCCCAGAGAGGAGCCACCATGACTAGTAATGGATACTAATGCATCCGATCTCAGAGTGGCTCGAGCACCTCGTCGCCGAAGATGAATGCGACGTCCGAGACGCCGAGCCTGAAGAGGCGAGTCCGGAGCCCAGTCAGGTCGACCTCGCTCGCGGAGGAGGGGGGGCGGCGGGGCGCCCACTCTCCGGAGGTTGAGTCGCGCGACGAAGACGTTGTCGAGCAGGTTGATGAGGAAGAGGGCCGCCTGCGGGAGGAGGGAGAGGCGAGGGGGTGGCAGGAGGGGCGGAGAGGGTGCCAGGGGGAGGGAGGGGCGGAGAGGGTGCCAGGGGGAGGGAGGGGCGGAGAGGGTGCCAGGGGGAGGGAGGGGCGGAGAGGGTGCCAGGGGGAGGGAGGGGCGGAGAGGGTGCCAGGGGGAGGGAGGGGCGGAGAGGGTGCCAGGGGGAGGGGGGGGCGGAGAGGGTGCCAGGGGGAGGGGGGGATGGCCGCCTGCGACGTTGCGAGGATGGAGCGGTACGACCAGGTCTGGAAGTAGGTCGCGTAGAGCGCCGTCCCGCCCGCGAGCGTGGCGGAGGACACGACTCCCACCCACGTGTATACGATCGGCGAGAGGCAGGGCAGCTGCTGCGCCGCAGCCCACCCGCAGGGGAGGGAGCCGTCGGGCGGCGGCGGCGCAGTGCCGTTTGCGACGGCGGCGTCGAGGGCGGCACACGCGGCAGCGCTCCTGCAGCGCAGGTCGGCCGAGTCTGCCGCCGGCGCGTGGGCCCACTCGAAGAGGACGGACGAGTAGGGCTGCAGCACGCCTGGGGGGCGGGGGAGGCGCGGGGGGGGAGGCGTTGTCGCGCGCAGTGGTCGCGCCTCGGGGAGAGGAGGGGGGGGGAGGGGCGCGGGAGGGAGGGGCTACGGGGCGGGGAGTGGGGGCTGGCCGCCCGAGAGGAAAGTGAAGACGGCGGCGCGAGCGAGGCAGTCGTCGACGCGGCGGAGGAGGAGGTAGAGGAGCGTGGTGAGCCCAAAGTTGCCTCCGAGCGTGAGCGAGTCGACCAGCTCCGAGTGCGACCGGCCGACCGTCAGCTGGAGCACGCCGAGCGAGATCGAGTAGAGGCCGACGAGCGCGGCGGAGGCGGCGACCACCTTCTTGGTCGGGTGGGACCAAACCTCGCCGCACATGGCGCGCACGCCCTTCCGGCTGGCGGCGGCGCGGCGCGTCTCGCCGAGCCAGCCCCCGAGGGGCGGCACCATCACCGCCAGGGCGGCGAAGATGGCGAGGCCAAAGAGGAGCCTGGAGGGGGGAGGCCGACTTCAATAGCCGCGGGCCGCCGGGCGTGGCGCCGCGGGAGCGCGCGGCGCCTCGCGCCGTACCACTCGATCAGGTACCCCTTGACCACCCCGGCCGGCACGCCAGCCACGCCGAGCGAGCCCCAGCAGAGCGCCTGCAGCGCCGCGCCGAGCTCCGGCCGAACCTACAGCGGAGGAGGGCGTGCATCGCCAGAGGCGGGCGAGGGGCGGGCGAGGGGCGGGCGAGGGGCGGGCGAGGGGCGGGCGCCTTGGCGCGCTCGGCGACAGTGGCGTCAATCATAACGTCGGGCATCGCAAAGTTGACGTTTGTGAGGAGGAGGAGGAAGCCGGCGAGAGGGGCGCTGACGGTCGCGGCGGGGAGCGCGGTCAGCATGCCGAGAGCGAAGAGACCGAGCACACCGGCGATGAGCATGTAAGGCGCCCGGTGCAAGCCTCCAAGCGGCACCGTGTCGGACAAGAGGCCAAAGAGCGACTTGAGCTGCCACGGGATGTGCGAGAAGCCCGCGACGCGGCCGTACTCTGCGGAGGTCATGCCAATGTCGTCGAGCAGATAGTACTGCCGTGCGCCAAACACAAACTTCTCACCCATCCCCTGGTTGACGCCGTACGCAAGGATACATGCGGCGACGTAGCGCCAGCCAAAGGCGGCCGAGAGGCGGCGCAGGAAGGCGCGGCCCGTTAGGCTGTCCGCGCGGCGAAGGAAGGTCGCCATGGAGATAGGCCTGGTTGTTGGCGTTGCACACAGCACTGGCAAGAAACCCGGCCGGCGGTGGGAGTGGTGTTTTCGGCAAAAAGCATTCAGCCAGCAAGCAAACGTTTATATGGGGAAATAGACAACATCGAACACCGCCACGACGGTCACGGCTCACGCACACTCGGCGCAAGGCCACACAAGAGAGGCAGCCTTTGCCTGGGGCGCACTCTGCCCTTTCAGGGGCGGTGCGCTATGCGAGGGCAGCCTAGAAGATGGCCGGGGGCGCGGCGCCGCCAAGGCCGCCGGTCGGGTAGAGCGCATCGACGCCGAGGAGCTCGTGCACGAGGCAGCCGGTGATGCCGAGCATGGCGGCGCGGCCGTTCTGGCGCTCGGCGTTGAGCTTGAAGGTCTTGGTCTCGGGGTCGTCGTAGCGCACCCACGAGTCGATGGCGATGTCGCCCGCCTCCTTGTCGTCCGTCTGCGCCTCGGCGAGCGGCGACGCGCCCGTCTCCTGCATGCAGGTGAAGAGCATGATCTGCAGCCAGCCGAAGGTGGGGACCGCCTCGAGCGAGCCGAAGCAGGTGGTCGGCACGTCCGAGAACTTGATGCCCAGCGACGGGGAGAGGTCGCCCGGCAGCACGATGCCCGCCTTGAGCGCGATGACGTGGAGGAAGCCGAGCATGGCGGCGCGGCCGTGCTTGATCTCCATGATCTGCGGGGCGGGCGCGCGCGGCGCGGCGGAGTGAGAGGTGGGTCCAGACGGCGGAGGGCGTGGGGCGGTCGCGAGGCGGCGAGGCGGCGAGGCGGCGACGGGAGGCTGGGAGAGGCTGGGGGAGGGGAGCGGGGGCGCGATGCACACCTCATAGCGGCGCATGTCGCGGGTCTCGATCAGGCCGAGCGGGTCGTAGACGCCGAGCGGCGGGAGGACGCCGAGGTCGCCCTCGGAGAACATGGTGACCGCCGAGCGGGTGGCCGGCGCGCGCATGGCGGGCGCGTTGAAGGCGGGAGCGAGGGCGACAGTGGAGAGCATGATTGTTCTGCGGCGCGGGCGGAACTTGGCGTGAGGGCGGCGCGGGGCGGAGCGGGGTGTGAGTCGCGGCCGGTGTGCGGGCGGCCGCGCGAGGGTGTGGGCGAGGGTGTGGGCGCGCGGCGGGCGCGGGCGTGGCGCGCGGCGGCGGTCGGGCTGGGCGGCGGGGCCACGGGCGGAGCGGTGTGGCATCTGGGCATGGGATGCCTGTTGGAATGAGGGTTCTGAAATTGCGGTGTTAATTTTGGCCGGGATCAATTATTTTTATTCTTTTCCTCCCGACAGACGCGCGGAGTGGGGCTGGCGGCTGGCGCCGTTAGCCTCTCTCCTTCGATTTTCAATGCAATCCCAAAGAGAGAGACAAACGAAATCAAGAGAGAGAGAGAGAGAGAGAGAGAGAGAGAGAGAGAGAGAGAGAGAGAGAGAGAGAGAGAGAGAGAGATGCTCTCATATCCCAAATGAGGATTTGGGCGAGCACGATTGCGAGAGATTTTTAGCAATACCAATAAAATAAATAAATAAAAAGGGCACGCCAAACGAGGGGTGGGAGAAGGACAGGGTAGCAATACCAAACAACTCTAACACTCACACGTTGTTTTGTTGTCGATTGCGAGAGCAAGGGATCGAGGCCCGAGCGAGGAAAGCGATGAACAAAAGAAAACACTGACCATGGGAGGGATGGGAGGACGGCACGCACGCCGCCCCACACAGGGATTTAAGGAGATGATTGTTGCGCTGCCTTTTAGGGAGTTCGCAAAAAAAGAAAAAGCGCGTGCCAAGTTCAGGCGCCGTCTCTGACCGTCCTACTGTGTATATGTGCTGCATGCTTGGCGAGCGCGGCTGCCTGCTCCTCACGTGCGCCCTGATCACCGGCGCTGGCGTGTGGTACAGCTCCCGGCCCACGCCCGAGTACTTCCACTCCGAGAACTGGTGGATCGAGAAGGAGCTCCGGGCGCTGCCAGAGTCGCACGGCCCGGGCCACGGCCGCGTGGTGCTGCTGACCGGGATGGCGGGCTTCGTGGGCTACCACACGGCCAGGCAGCTGCACGCCGACGGCGACGCGGTCATCGGCCTCGACAACTTTAACCACTACTACGACGTGCGGCTCAAGACGACGCGCGCGGCGCACCTGCGCGAGGAGGCGGCGGCGGGCGGCGCGTACCTGCGCCTGTTCGAGGGGGACGTGTGCGACGGGGATCTGCTCGAGCTGCTGCTGCGCTCGGGCCGGGTCACAAACGTCATCCACCTCGCAGCGCAGGCGCCGCGACCCTCTCCGCTGCCGCGCCGCGCTGCTCTCGTCTCCGACAGCTCCACGGCCCCATGCACACAGGCGGGCGTGCGCTACTCGCTCAAGAAGCCGCTGGCGTACGTCGAGGCGAACGTGCGCTGCTTTGTTACGCTGCTCGAGGTGCGCCGCCGCCCGCCCTGCGCGGAGAGAGGGCGGGGAGCCGGAGCGGCGCGTGGTTGCTGCGGCGCGTGGCGGGTGTGGGCGGCGGGAGGAGGGAGGCGGGGGCTGAGGAGCGAGCCGGCCTTGGCTCCACACACCGCGCGACCCCCTCCCTCCGCGTGCAGGCCGTCAAGACCGTCAACAAGTCGATTCCGATCGCGTACGCCTCCTCGTCCTCCGTGTACGGCCTCAACACGCAGGCTCGCGCACGCACCGCTTCCTAGACACTTCCTAGACACTTCCTAGACACGCAGGCTCGCGTGCACGCACCGCTTCCCCTCCTCCCGTGCACACCACTGCTGCACCGCCCTCCGCAGCCAGCCCCTCCGCAGCCAGCCCTCCGCAGCCAGCCCCGGCGGCCTCACCTCTCCCTCCTCCCCTCTCCCTCCTCCGCCAGGTTCCCTTTTCGGAGAAGCATCGCATCGACCAGCAGGCGTCTCTCTACGGCGCGACAAAACAGTCCAACGAGCGGATCGCGCACGTGTACCACCACCTCCACGGCCTCAAGCTCACCGGCCTCCGCTTCTTCACCGTCTACGGCCCGCTCGGCCGGCCAGACATGGCATACTTCTCCTTCACGCAGGCGCGGCACACCGCCCCGCCGCAACACACCGCCCCGCGCCCACTTGCCCCCGGCGCCCGCGGGTCGACCTCTTCCCGTGCCGCTCCCCTTTATGGGAAGGGCATCCTTCGCAGCAAAGCAGCTCACCCGAGTTCCGGGAAAACCGTCGGGTCCTGGGCCTCTCAGCTAAAATTTCACGTGTCACTAGATGCGCATCCGCCGCTGAAGAATACCCGGACAACACGCAGGGCTGGTGCCCGGGAGGCTCTTCCGGTTTCTTCTCATGAGAGGTGACTTACAATCA